AGATTTATAAAGTAGTAACTTTTTTTTTTCTTTTGTAACACACAATTATAAAAGTGACCCAAGGAAAATTATAGTTTCTTCTTTGTAATTAGAAATGATACGCGTAGCATGGTCTGACTCTTGATGGTCCACGTCTTTGATTGGTTTCTTTAAATACAGTACAATTCCAAATGTCAAAAATTGAATGGATTTAAATTATTGCTTTATCTTTCAGAGACTGATATCCTGGAATATTCAAAAAGCTCCATTGCCTTAAAAGAGAGAGGAGTGAGATTATTAGTGAAGGAGTGTGGAGTTCAATAATTGAGCACCGGCAGCCTTTCACCCACTCTTTTCTTTTCGGTCGTTTTCGGGACTTAAAAACTTTTTTGTTAGAGCTAATATCTAACAAAGATGCACACTTGCACTATTCTAAACACTTTGTTGAAAAACCTAATTCCCAGTACAAATTGTGAAAAGCTGTGTTTCATGATATAAACATCACATTTTAATCTACAATATTGATTTTGCCAGTAAATGTTTTTTTAATTAAAACAATACTATATGTCTTAATCGCGTGGTTTGCATTAAAATATAATATCATTAACATTATTTGGAATACTATTATAACCTGTGTCGACAGCGTCATATTCTGTATTATAGTTTGTCAAGAGGGACAAGTTTTTTTGTTTGTTCTTGAAAATCATGAGGGACACGTTAATAAACAATTATTTGGCTAGATGATGATGAGCATTGATGTGAAGTGGCATATATTATGTATGCATGCATGCATGCATGGCCATATACTCATCATACATGGGAGATGGAATAGAAGTGAGAGAGCGTGCTTGAATTATTATAATAGGAGTTCTACTTTTGCTAGTGGGAGAGATATTGGACTTGGTAGAGAAAGCTTGGCATGAAAGAAATTGAACTTTTCACAAAGCCTCTCCTTTTTGCCACTTTCCCAAAGTACCTGCTTCTTGGATACTTCCAAGCTCATGGTTTTTGGAAGCAATCTACCCAGCATAAGGCACCTTGTTTCAATTCTATTAAGCTCTCCAAGGCCAATGATATCGGTTTCATCTTTTCTTTAATGATAATCTATAAAAAGTAACACTCTTTTTAGCATATCATACCAAGCTCCAAACATAAAAATGCACATCGGCATGGCTTATTACACGAATTTGTGAAATTCAAATGAAAGAACAAAAAAAAAAAATTATATCGGGGTTCTTTTTATATGTCCTCTCACATTACTTTGCGGGATTTATATATAGTACAGTCGTTTCTACTAACATGGTCAAGAGATGTCTTGTCTGCTATGTACATGTTAAAAAATTCATGGAGCTTGAAATATCTAAATTAAAAAATGTATTTCTTTTTTATTTATAAATCAGATATTTTTTTAATATGAATTTGACATTTTCAAATTAAGATATTGTATTCTAACCATCAAATTATCCTCGCAACACGAATTAAATTTTTTATTTATATGTTTAATTGAAACGTTAAACTCCATTATTAGTATTTTCCTCAATCTAATTTTATAATGATATAATTGTTATTTATAAATACGAAAAGTCATCGAATTGATAACTCAATATCAATTATACTTTGATTGAAACAATAAGCACGCGTTGAATGTCGCAATTTCAATTAAGGTCGGATGTATACATGAATTGGAGTATATTTTAGAGTTGAAATTTCTAAATCAAAGTATGCCTCAAGATCTTAAGTTTGAAAAATCACGCCTTCTTATGATTCTAAATTTTGGTTTTTATTTTATTAGGAGACAGAAGAATAACCCTGGCTCTTAATTAGGTTGACATAAATTGCTAAAAATATAAAATAATTAGACCCACGGTAGAGAACAAAGAACTGGTGACTAAACCACAGGAAGTGATAATAAAAGAAGTAAAATTAATTTCATATGTATAAAGTAGATTACTTTACATAGTAATTTTTGTCAAAGGTTTTGCTTCGTTTGGGTACTTGCCGGGATGATTTTGACTAGTGCACTACTTCCAAGTAAAACAAGACAAAAATTCTTAAACAGAAATCCCAACGAGAGATTTAAGTATCAAGTGTCGACATATTAAAAATGAGGAGGAGTGCAACAATTGAATTGTAATTTTCTTTTAATTAAATTGTTAATTAATAACATATCTCGACTTGAATCTAAACATTATTTTTTTATAAATTTGCCAGCCATTCACTCACATTTCTGCAGAGTTTGATTCAACATTGTGATAAATGAATGGGCCCGAATATTAAATATCTACATCAATCATCAAATAAGCTTGAATTATCATATTGACTTTGTAACATCAAGACAAGATAAATGGAGCTCCATGACTTATCATTTGGAAGTCCTTTTTAAGTATATTAATTGAAAATAATGCACACAAAAAAAAAAACAGATAATGTCTCGAATATAATTATTAATGGATTTGAATGTTTCTTTTCTTTATGTTCGCAAATAAATTTAGCTTCTACTAAATTATCAACTTTAAGTACTTCCTTTTTATCATTTGGAAATAAAAACAAATAGTAATTAAGTATTGCATGTATACAAGGCTTTTTTTTTTTTTTTGCTTTTTTGAAAAACGACAGAAAATCAAAGCAATTTGTGTAGCTATCAAATAGTACATATAATTGGTATTAATTTTAATTACTCAATTATACTCAATGTAACGATTTTGACACATTGGAGAACAAAATGAAAGCCCTATACCACCCTCATAAGGCAAATACGTGAAGTGAAAACTACACGTCAAGCAGGCATGTTAAAAAGAAAGGCGAAAGTAAGTTCAAAACGAGACATCTGTCCCGCAAATTGCCATACTGGCCCACGTTTCACCTAACACATTACCTAAAACTTTTGGCCTCTCATAAGAGTTTGAGAGCGCCACCATCAATTTCCAATTTCCATGCAAATTAATAAAGTTTTTTTTTAAATAAAGGTCTGGAAATATATAGATCTTGCCCACCAGGCTTACCAACATCAAAGATCTTCCCCGCAAGTAATTACAAAGTACCACAGCTCATGATTTTCTCTATTAGTTTTCCGTCGTTTTCATTATTTTCTACGAACGACTTTTTATTTTTTTTACTTTTTACTGATCTTATAAATTCTTACAAAAAGATAAAAAAAAAAAAAGTAAGTAAGAATGTGTGATGGGGAAGGAGTTGGAAGTATATATGTTGATGAAATTAATAGTAATTACATAGGATAGGAGCATGCATGCATGCAATTCTCATTAAATATGGCACATGCAAATAAGATTTGTTTACCAGAATAGACATTTTTTCTTTCTCCTTTTCTTCACAAGCGATAGGTCAGTTTCCTATAGACATTTAGCCATGCATATGCCAGTTTCATCTGTGATTCTGTGTCAAACCTAATCCACGTAGGTCCACAATATGGTAAAAATATATACAGAGAGTGAGTTTGATTGTAGGTTCTTTTTTTTTTTTCTAAAAAAATAAATAAAAACTGGAAATCCATAATAGCAGCTCCAATAACAAATGTATATAGTATATATTATAGATATAGTAACAGCGGTATCAATTGCGGCTTAAATATAAATTACTTGCTTTGCATTTTTCTTCTTCAAGCTTAGGTTGTCTGTTATGGTTGGATATTCAAAACAGGATTTTTTTTGCATTAATTGTACGTAAAATAAAGTCAAGTGGAGTTAGTCCAACTTAACTTTTCTCTTGTGTGCCAGCTTATAAGCACATTCTCAAGTGAAAACTATTGCAAGGGTTAGCTTTTTTCCTTTGCTTATAATACTCCTTCAAACCTCATGCTATTTAAAATTAAACTAAAAAAACTCCTCTAATTATTTATTATCCAACAAGCTCTCAAGGGGATTAATACAGAAATTGAGTTGCATTAAGAATTTTAGTATTTAAGAGCTGAACAAGTTGCAAAACAATTCAAGTTTTTCAAAATTTTAAATTTATTATATATAGCGCATATATATGTTACATTAATAATTTTACAAAATTAAGATACAATACATATTTATATGTATACACACATACGTGACCTAATTTGTATGTTTATCATACAAAGGATTTAACTTTTAAATTTCATGAGTTTCATGGAGAAAAACTTAGGACATAGCTTATGTGATCTCCCCGCTCATTAGCCAATAAACCCCTTTTTTTATATAACATAATAAAAGGATTTAGTCGAAATCTATTGAAAAATTGGATTTGATTCACGAGGTGGCTGGATTATACTTTAGTTGAACAGCACCCTTTGAACTTTAATCTTCCCCACACCTTTTTTTTTTTTCTCTTTTTTGCCCCTTGATTATTTGTTTTCTTTTCCATTATTTTTGGTGTGTGCTTTAACAAACTTTATTGCCAACCACTACCAATTGTAATTCAATAATTGGCAAAGCAAAACAAGGCTAAACCCAATTGTGGTTTGTTGTTGGTCACAAAACTTTTGAAAATAAGATACTGAAAAGAAGAAAACTGAAAAAGCAAAAGTAATTGGGGGAAAAAGTTGAATATGGAAGAGGGTACAGCTCTAAGTTTGCTTTAGCTTAGTGGAATCACATCAGGACATTAAAACCAAAGTGGTAGTGATTTGATCAGGCTGTAAAAGCGATGCAGTTTCCATATTTAATCAAGGTTTCATGGAATTCCCAACCATTCACTTCTTCTTTCGTCTCCTTCCTGGGAAAATAATTAAATAAATACAAACCAATACAATGAAATGTCACCAAATTGAACGTTGTAATTTATTAGATCTTGCCTGCAACCCATATATCTACCCCAAACTCAAAATTTAGGTTAAAAGCACCAAACCCCAAGACAAAGAAAAATAAAAGCTTGTAACTACAAAATGAAAAAAGATTTATATATTCAGAAAGCCGCAGAAAATCATACTTAAACATGTTTATAACTTAATCTTGAAGGATTTTAATTTGGCTCAGAATTTTGTTCATCATTTGCATTGTATAGTCAAACAAAATTTAAAAAGAAATAAAAAAAGGATATACTTGAAAGGGCTAATTAATTAATTAAGCTTCAAATTCCCTGTAGTGTACAGTCCCCCTCAGTGATATTACATTGATTTTTCATGATAAACATACACTGTTTTTAACATAAGATCAAAACAAAAAAAAAAGGGAAAATAAACTGAAAATTGCATTTCTTTTTTTCTTATAGTTTTCTTTTATTTGTTATATCAACAACAAAATTAAAACCCCAAAGTAATTAACCATAAACTTAAAACATGGACATGCACCAACAAAAGTTCACTTATAACTCAGCCATTCTCTTATTTTGCTGCTTCAAATCCTTGTAAAACCTGTTTATGAAATCCTCGGCAGCCTTGTCTACGTAGCCATTGTCTTCGTCGACATCTCTCAAAGGAAAAGGAGAGTCCGTTATCCTAAGTTGCCTGGCCAATGGAGTTTGCCCGAACCCTGGTAACATAGGGGAGGCCTCCACCACCATGTTGCTGTCATTGTTGTTGAACATCTCCAACACAACCTTAACAGCGTTCACCGTCGCGACGTCGTCGTCGTGAGTGGGAGGCGCGTGGGTGCAGGCGAAGAAATGGTGATAGTAGTTGTTAATGCCGCTTTTCTTCTTGGTGGCGAGGTTGAAAGGGAAGATGTAGTTGGGGGTGTTGCTGCAGCTGAACTCGTACTCCTGGGCTGCCGCCATGAAGGATGAGATGTGGCGGTCTTTGTGGTGGTTGCTGTGGTTGTGGTGGTGGTGGAACATGAGGTTGCCGAAGGCTTTGGCGCTAGCGATTTTGCCACGTTTGAGCATCATGTTGAGATCAACCATGAGCTTTCTCTTTGATATGCCTTTTCTCATCATGAAGAGAACTGCCCTTACTATGCTCCATACTCTTTTGGCTATCACTGGAAGATTTTGTTCCATTTTGGCCTTTTCTTTTACTAGTATTTTTGCCTTTTCAATTGTGGGTTGAGAGAGATTGAGAGAGAGTGAAGGGAGAGGAAGAGAGAAGAGGAAATTATTTGTTTGGGTTAGAGGGAGAGAGGGAGAGGAAGGGTATATAAAGGGGAAGAGAAGGGTTGTGAAGACAAGGGAAAGGATACGTTTGCTTAAAGGTAATTTGTGCTTCAAATACGGCACTAAAATATCCTATGGATGCACGGATGGTTTGGGTTAATTTAGTGGTTTAAGTATTTTTCCTTTCCTTGGCCATGTTGCTTGCTTCAATCATTTTTGGTTGGTGGTGATTAGGTGGGCTCAAGCTCATGTGAGCTTGGGATGATGAAAGTGCCATCTAGCTGTTAGACCACCGTTTTGAAGACAAGGTTTGAAACCATTTCAACTCAAAAGACAATGATTTTTCTTTTTTAAAATAAATAAATAAATAAATAAAATTGTTGAACAATTATATAGTGTAAGGAATTAATTCTACCTGTAACTTAACCAAGCAAAGGATAGCAAACTCTAGTAATAATTGATTTGGCAATTACTAATAATTACTAGTAAGTACCATCAAATCCTGGTTTGGCTTCTTTGCATCACATTTTATTTTACTACTAACATTTTTCCATTCATCAGCTACTATTTTTGACATCTATAGTATCCATAATTAATGATAATAGAATCCTAAAAACATGATGATGATATATATATATTGAAAAGTATTGATTAAAGAAAGTAATTGATGAGATTTAAACCCTAATTATATTTATATATACTGCCATGGTTTAGTTTACTAAAATTAAGGTGAATATTAGGAAAACACCTACTAATTTTAATCTTTAAAAAGAGTTATTCAATGCACGAAAAGAGAATTAATCAACAAACACATCTAAATGAAGGAAATTGGAGAAACATCATATTGCTACCACATCTCTTTTACTTAACTACAATATTGTTGGACTTATATATATATATATATTAGAAATTTGTGTATTTATATATATAGTTAAATTGCAAGAGCTACGGATCATTCTTTTTTTTTTATTATTAATTTATAGATTAACTATTACAGTATATATAAATCATTTATATTTTGTAGCTTGTGTTTATTTACACACATATTAACTTCATATCATCAATGATTATTAATTTTTTATTCATAACCCAATCAACGACATGATAAAATATCACATGTTGTTCACATTTTACCAAATTGTTACCTTTTATAGTTGGCCGAAGAAACCATAATGGGTTGAAAAAGTTTCATTATACTTCAAAAAGATGAATGAGTGAAAGCTGCAAAGAGCCCCAGGTCTCCGTGGCCTGCGCAATTTAAAAAAAAAAGCCAATGTTGAAGCGAAGGCAGGAGGCAGGCGGCTGCATGATATTTCGGGTTCCATTAGTATCCCCCTACTTTTGGTATATGTACAACTTCAACTTTAGCGAATGAAACGATGTTATAAAAAAGTAGAAAGGGTATTATTGAGAAAGGGATTATAAAAATCCAACGCTGTCGCCTTGGAATTTCAACCATCCCATGACTTTCAACGCCCTTGGAGTTTCCTTAGCCTATAAACAAAGGCAAAGCCACAGCTTTTTTAACAAAGCAAAGTTCGTCTTCGACAAGAAAATACAATAAAAGAGGGCCAACAATACAATTTTCCCTTTGAGTTCCATTATTTCTGTTGTATCGTCAATTAAAGAATTGACAAAAAAACGTGGGAGAATTGGTTGCACCATTTTCTTTCTTTCGTATCATCAACATTGTACGAATATTGTAAGGTTGTTTTTGTATTTTACTACTTTTTATTTTTAAAGAAAAAATTCTAATCTTACTCTTTAAATAAAGAATCATACATTAATTAATAAATTAAATATTTAAATTTTTTTTTAGATTTAGGATTTTAAATATAAAAAATTACTTTTTAGCTAATAAATTTCAGATATTTAATCTGTAATATAATGAATATTATAAACAAGTATACATTTTGTTCATTTTTGCTCATAATGAATAGATTTATAATAGGATAGTCTAATTAGTATATGAATTGATAAGATTACTCATTGTACACAATTTTGTACAGTGTAAATGAATGGTCTGGAATTATTTTTTGCTTTGTTTTCGACTTTCACATGCTTTCTCACAAGAGGCAGCATGAATAGGATAACAGATAGGAGTAATAATTACGACCACATGCATGATATAAGGTTGCTCAAGAATGACATGTAACTTGACATCACAATATAAATGCCCGATCACCACATTTTGTAATTTGATTATGAATAAATTCAGCTTTGCTTGCCTATTAGTGTTTTGGATAATTATTAGAAATTACACTGCTCACCCAAGAAGCATGTGTTCCCTGATGAGAATGGAATTCCACCGGACTGTTTCTTTGCAGTGAGCGTAAAACTGCTCATCGGGAAGAATTAAAGCATCATGTTGAAGATGAATTTAGGGGTATTAAAAATGCTCACATACACAGTTTCATACAGACAGAAATCACCAGATTGTTGACTTCCCATTTAATCACAAACACAATCTTTGTATGTTTAGCAAACAATAAAATTAATATCTGCTAAAAATACTTGGAGATATAGACATACAGTTCTTACCAAGTTAAAATTTGAAACCTTGGAGGTCATAATAATATTATTCTCAATCCGTTTTCCATTTTCTTTTATATATTTGGGCGGAGGGGGAGGAAGTGAGAGAAGCTCTTCTAATCATACCTTGATATAGGAGGCACGTATGACACGCATTAGTTGAGGTGCTGCAGAACTTGAATCAGTAAAGAATAAACAGTTTTAACTCATGAGATACTAGTCAATTCCATATTAACAATTTACTTATGTCAAAACAATTGAAAAATATTTCCTAACTAAACAGAATCTAGGGCCAACAATCCCATAGTCTATTAGTTTTGACAGTAATATATGAAGGAAAATGGGAGAAGAGAGCTGACAAAATTCTATGCATTTAGAATTTAAACTGCTAGAATTGGGTGTATTAGGTGCCAACAAACCGCATTGGATTAAGCTGATATTGACTAACAAACTAAACACTATTAATAAATACAAAAAGTTCATTCTAGGCATGAAATATTAAACGACTATTCAAGTAAATGCCAGAGGTTTATTCCGCTAGTAAGCTTGAGCACAAATTGGTATTTTAACACTTACATCCTAATCAGTTTGGGACTAGTAAGAAGCTGCAAGCTTGTCCAAAGGTGCATCTAAAGCAGTGAAGAACCTAAAGGTTACAAATCTTCTGGACCTTCTACCAACTTCTTCTAGCGTAAGTCGCAGGCAAGCCAAGTAAGTACCTCAGATACCAGGGGCTTTTTGCACCCAAAAATTTCACTCTAAGTCTCTCTGTTCACATTTACTATATTGCAGCTGGCAAGTGCTAAAAGTCATCTTCTATTTCATCTGGTATAATTAACTTTTCAATGGCGGCCTGCCCATGGATAACAATTAGACAGCTTGTTAGAAACAGAACACCACTTATCTTTAGTTGTGATAGTAATATCATGCCAATTGATATCAGTACGTGTTCTTTGAGTGCAGTATACTGTCCCAGAAGGGACCACATGATATGATTGATTCTTTAGAAATGATTGTCAAAATGTTATTACTGTAAGAAAGTTGCTCCTTATTAAGACGACTCAGTGTCTCTTTTCCAAATTCAAGTTTATGAAAACCCAATTTCAGCCATAGACGTCAACTGCTGTGCAAGGCACAAATCAGACAACCACGTATAGGATCATAACAAATGCAAAAAAGCCCTTGAAGTCTCATCTTTCCAAGAAAAGACCATGGTAGTTGACCAAAAGGATTCAACAAAGGAGCAAGCGACATGATTACTCTTCGTGCACCTTTTTGGAAGAATGATATGCTCACAACATAATAGAATTAGAAAAGCAATCATACTTCATTCGTCCATAACTGCATAAATTTTATATATATAGAAAAAAATCACTAAAAGGAACCAAAAGGGTAGCAACCCATTAACAAAGCTGTGGGTTACACAAAGCATTAAGAAACTATACTTCATAACTACTTAAGAACTTGATAGGATTTTTGCTCATTTGGCCAAAAGTGGATCTGATGAGCTCAAGAAATAAAAAGTTGGAGCTATGAAACTAAAGAGATTAGAAGAATTATCATTTTAGACAACTAGGTACCTCTTTCATAACATGTACAATATTTTATTTCTGGTGACTAGAAACCTTCTGCAATATGGTTGGACAAAAACCAGAAGATGAATAGAAACCTAACATGCGATGTGCTGTGGCTATTAAATATATACATTCTTTAAACAGTAATAGATTGATTAATTTTGGAAAAATGGTTGGTATAATTTGCATTGCTATGCACATTGTAGATGAAAAAGGAAAAGCAATCATTAGAGTTATCTCCAGAACAACCGTTACTGCAAATTAATGTGGTAGTCTCATCTTAAAGAGGAAATGAAAAGCTGTACTATAGAATAAGCCACATTAACGTCTAAGAAAGCAAAGGGTGATGACTATTACCTCTATTTTAGCAACATCCAATGTACTCGGTTTTAAGTCCAAAGCGATTCCAAAATGAAGCATTGCCTTGTCATACTTTTTATGTTGTTTATAAATTTCACCTATCAATGCATAGATGCTACTTTCATGAGGTGTACACTCTTTGAGTTCCTCCAAAATTTCCAAAGCTTCATTCAATTTTCCAAGTGTCACCAGCATTTTTGCTTTGTTGTACTTTGGAAGTGGATTTTTGTTGTCAATGACAATAGCTTTTTCCATCATCTCCAAAGCTTCTTCACTCCTCTGCAAAACAATTTAAAAACAGTTGTCAATGGACAAAAAATAATGAAACAAGACTTTAGTAGTCACATATTTTTTCCTGTTTTGGGTTTACATTGCAGCCCATTGACAACAAAGTAAAGCATGTGAGTGCAACATTTCTGAGCACAAAATGCACAATTCAGTAGTAACATAGCTTCTAGCTGTAATCTTGTTCCAAAGTTGTCCTTGCTACATTGACCCAAGTCTGGCAATTATTAGGGGTGAGCAACGGTCGGTTGGAACCGTCCAACCGACCGCAACCGTCGGTTGTGCCGATCGGCCTCGTCG